GCATTTGACAAAAATGAAGTGTGGAGAGCTTCACAACCTTTGGAGTTGGTACACTCTGATGTATGTGGCCCGATGTAGGTCATTACAATTGGAGGAAACAGATATTTCCTCATTTTCATTGATGATCATACAAGGATGTGTCCGGTGTTCTTCTTGCAACACAAATCAAGTGTATTTTCAGTGTTCAAAAGATTTAAATCCATGGTGGAGTTGCAAAGTGGATTTCAAATCAAGAAGCTAAGATCGGACAGAGGAGGTGAATACACTTCAACTGAATTTAGTAAGTTTTGTGAAGACTTGGGACTTGAAAGGCAATTAACAGTTGCTTATTCTCCTCAACAAAATGGAGTTGCAGAGAGGAAGAATAAGACCATTGTAGAGATATCTAGAACAATGCTTTATGAAAACAGAATGCCTATCAAGTTCTGGGGAGCAGCAATTAACGTTGCAGTCTACATTCTCAATAGGTATCCTACAAGTGCTCTCAAGAATAAAACCCCTTTTGAGGCATTCAGTGGAAGAAAACCTGGAGTAAAGCATATGAGAATATTTGGTTCTCTTTGCTATACTCATGTTCCATCTCAGCTGAGGCATAAATTGGAAGAAACTAGTGAGAAGGGAGTCTTTGTTGGGTATGGAACTTGTGAGAAAGGGTACAAGGTGTTTAATCTAAGAAAGTAATATTGTCAAGAAGTGTAATATTTCACGAGAAATCTTTGTGGAATTGGGAAGCAAATGAAGAAGTGCACACGTCAATTCCTTGGGACAATAGTGAGGAAGCAAGAATAACTGAAGGCCGGGAGGAGTTTGAATCACCTAATCAAGCTCTAGAATCACCAAGTGTTAGATCATCACCAAATGCAGTCACTACACCATCCCAAGAGAAGAGACAAGCTTCACCAAGACCAAATCCTTGTGAGATTGAAACATCTGAGCTCTATGATCACACACCCTTGAAGTGGAAGAACTTAAATGAAATTTTTGCACAGTGTAAAGTAAGTATTGTGGAACCTAAAAAATTTGCTGAAGCAACTCAAGATGAGGCATGGAATCAAGCTATGAGGGAAGAGATCACAATGATTGAAAAGAATTCTACATGGGAGATGGTTGAAAGACCTGGTAACAAACCAATTGTGGGTGTAAGATTGATCTTCAAGACAAAGCTAAATCTTGATGGCTATATCCAAAAGCACAAGGCACGGCTTATAGCTAAGGGATACACAGAAGCTGGGAGTAGATTTCAACAAAACCTTTGCTCCAGTGGCAAGGTTGGATACAATTAGAACTCTAATTGCTTTGGCAGCTCAAAGAAATTGGAAACTTTTCCAATTGGATGTAAAATCAGCATTTCTAAATGAAGTACTGAAGGAGGAAGTCTACATCGAGCAAACTGAAGGATTTGAAGTTAAGGGAGCATAAGTTAAAGAAGCATAAGTTATAAGTTAAAGAAGGCTCTTTATGGCTTGAAGCAAGCACCAAGGGCCTGATATGGTGAAATTGATACTCGTCTACTCAAGTATGGATTTAGAGAAGCATAAGTGAAGCTACACTATATGTGAAGACCAAAGAAAGTATTGGTACATTCATTGTGTACATTGGAAGCAACAGTGAGATGTTAGAAGAGTTCAAGGAGGATATGATGAACAGGTATGAAATGATTGATCTTGGTTTGTTGCATCACTTTCTTGGAATGAGAGTAATCCAGAAAGAATGGAGAATCTTTATTCATCAACAGAAATATGCCAAGACTTTGCTTGACAAATTTGGTTTGATGGACTTCAAACCAGTGAGCACACCACTGGTTCCAACAGAGAAACTCAAAAGAGAAGATGAAAGTGAACTTGTAGCTGAGGAGACCTACAGAAAAATAGTGGGGAGCTTGCTGTATCTAATAGCAACTAGACCTAACATCATGTATTCAACTAGTTTGCTTGCCCGATTTATGCATGGTCCCTCAAAGAAGCATTTTGGAGCTGCAAGAAGAGTACTAAGGTATGTATAAGGAACTCTGGATTTTGGCATTGAATATGAGTCTGGAAAGCCAGCTATGTTGATTGGATTTTGTGATAGTGATTGGGGTGGTTCAGAGGATGATATGAAAAGCACATCTGGATATGCTTTTTCATTTGGCAATGGAGCATTTTCTTGGGCCTCAATGAAACAAAACAATGTTGTTTTATCAACTGCAGAGGCTGGATATGTAAGTGCTGCTGAAGCAACAACTCAAGCAATTTCGCTAAATTTTTGCTGGGTGATTTTGGAGAAGAGCAACTAGAAGCTACACCAATCGTGACAACACGTCTACTATAGCAATGTCTAAGAATCCAGTGTTCCATCAAAGATCAAAGCACATAGGAAGAAAGTTCCATTTCATCAGAGATGCAATTCAAGGAGTAGTAGATCTGATCTATTGCAAAGGTCAAGATTAAGTTGCAAATATTTTCACGAAGGCATTGCCAAGGGAAAGGTTTTGCTGTCTGAGAGAGTTACTAGTTGTGAAATCAGTATACCATTTAGAAGGGAGTGTTGATGTGTAAATTGGTTTTACTGATTTAGTTTTACAGTTTTACAGTTGATTGTGACTAAGTAACAGCTTAGGTCCCTTTTACAGTTGAGAGAATTTTGTGGCTAAAAGGCCTGTAGGAAATTGCCAAGTGTCATACACACATTGGCAGATCAATTTTGTACTGATCTTGATGTAACCGTTTTTTGATAAATATGTGTGTGTGTGTGTGTGTAGTTGAGCTTAACATGAGCCAGTGCATTCATTTCAATCAATAACGGGCAAGAACAATTGCTACAGTACCCAAATCGGGCACTACATCATGCATGTTCATTTTGTCTGAAATATAGAATTTTGCAGTCTTTCTCCTCCTCCTTTCCTTTCCTTCCGAAAATCCAAAATAGTACTTCAGATTTCAACACTACCTATATTACTCAATGCCCTATCAAGACAGGGCACAGTTACACCTACAATATTACTATAACAGGGCAAAGAGGAACACTTTGGTGGCATGCACATATCTTTTGGCTAAGAGCCATTGTGATCATGTCGAAACAAGGGACTGGATTTCCATTCCCCCAGCCGTAAAGGGAAGCGAATATTGTCTTGGGTGAGTCGGTGCATGTAACGATAACAAGATTTTCAAACTTATGTACCCAAAATTTCAGAGCTTATGCGCAGATTAATCGCATAGTTTCTTGTGAATTCTGTAGGAGAATGGTGGAATAACGACGTCGAAGAGGATGTTAACAAGGAAATAGACTGGGATTGCCACCAAATATGTCAGATGCACACACCATTAATGGAAAGCCAGGGCCTCTCTTTCCATGTTCTGAAAAACGTAAGCTCGTGCCTTATAGAGAAATTCTTGCCTACGACAAATGTATGTAATGCGCCTTTAACAATAGTACAAACAATGTTGTATGCAAGAATTTTTCCTATCTAGGATCAGTTTTGTGTTATGGCACCATTATTTGGACTGGAAAAATGGGACTTTGCATTCTCATTTCTTGTTTTTGCTATCTCAGATACTATGCATTGGAAGTTGAACAAGAAAAGACATACCTGTTACGAATCATCAAAGCTGCACTCAATGATGAGCTGTTCTTTGCCATTGCTGGCCACAACTTGACAGTGATAGAAATTGATGCAGTCTATATCAAACCATTTGCATCTCAAGTGATACTAATTGCACCAGGACAGACAACGAATGTTCTTGTTCAAGCCAACCAAGTGCCTGGAAGATATTTCATGGCTGCCAGGCCATTCATGGATGCACCCGTTTCCGTTGACAACAAAACTGCCACTGCAATACTACAAAACAAAGGCATCCCAAATTCTGTACAGCCAGCCCTTGCTCAACTTCCAGCACTAAATAACACAGCTTTCGCGTTGAACTACCATGCCAGGCTAAGAAGTCTAAACTCAGCACAGTATCCCGCAAATGTACCTCTTAAAGTTGATCGACATCTTTTTTACACGATCGGTTTAGGAATCAACCCTGCACAACTTGCCTGAATGGAACACAGCTCACTGCTTCTTTAAACAACATCACATTTGTGATGCCCCAAATTGGGCTACTTCGGGCTCATTATTTCAACACCAAGGGGGTATTTACCAGAGACTTCCCAGACCGCCCTCCAATACCTTTCAACTACACCTGTGCACCACTCACCGCCAACCTTGCCACCAAACTAGGCACTCGGCTTAACAAGATTGCCTTCAATTCAACAGTGGAACTGGTGCTACAAGACACTAATCTTCTCACTGTGGAGTCTCATCCATTCCACCTCCAAGGTTACAATTTCTTTGTTGTTGGGACTGGAATTGGGAACTTCGACCCCAAAAAGGATCCGGCAAAGTTTAACCTGGTGGATCCTCATGAAAGAAATACAGTTGGAGTTCCCACCGGTGATTGGACTGCCATAAGGTTCAGGGCTGATAATCCAGGTAAACACATAACCATAACCAAACACCGTGCTACATTAAACTTCAAAGCTCGTAATTAGGCAAGAATAAATTTTGTTTCTTTTGGCAATTCACTAAACATTTGAACGGTATTTGATCATCATTAGGTGTGGTTCATGCACTGTCACTTGGAGCTCCATACTAGCTGGGGTTTGAAGACTGCTTTTGTGGTAGAAAATGGGAAGGACTCGGATCACTCTGTTTTGCCTCCACCTACAGACCTCCCACCTTGTTAGTTCCTCAAATCGAACAAATCAGAGTGGAGAGTTAAATTTGTTTTTGTTTTTATTTTTTTTTTAGCCTTTAGGCTGACAAGTTCTTGAAAACATTCCTGCAAGAAAAGCTCTTGTTAAGACCAATAAAAAGGTGTAATGTGTATCACATTGTTTTAAATGCCAACTTCAACCCCTGTTTTGTGCAGCAAATTTCCGGGACAACATTGGCTCCAAGTATTTAAGTTTAATCTACCAGAGCTTGAAACACATGAATTAGTAAATATATTTCAGGAATTTCTTTCGAAACTTAAAAGTCAGAAAATCGTGAGAGATATCAGCTTTTATGGATACAAAAAGAAATAACCAAACACTGCATCCTAGATTACAGAAGTAATGAATGCAATGATTCCATCAATCAGCCAGTATAGTAAACTCACTCCAGTATATTATTACAGACCAAAACTCCACTACGGAAAAACAATCACAGCCACACTACAAAATTTCAAGAAGCTAAGGCAGAAATCAGCATACCAGCAACACAAACAATGCCAAAGCCCCAATCCAATCCAGCAAATCCATCTTCCTCTTCTCTTTTTCATCTGCTTAGCATAAAAAAAGTGCATTAGTTCCTCCATTAGTGTAAGCCCCAGCACCAGCCACATTCAGTTCAATATCATCCATCCTTTCGCTTTGCTTTTCAACCAACACAGCAATGCTTAGGAACACATCCATCTGTAAGTCCTTTAAGGCCTTATGCCTTTCCTGACTCTCCATTACCAGCTCTGGCTTCAGTTCAAAAAACTTTGACCTGCCCGCTTATCAATCATTTCCTTGCTTCCTCCCATGTGGCACTGAAATACCTACTCTTGAGACCTTTTTTGTACTCTTTTAACAATCTGTTCTATCAACTGCAAATTAATCATTATCCCTCCCGGCTTAATTCTCAAACCATTAGACACCGAAATCCTCATTCGATCAACAGGGATTCCTTCCTTGTAGAGCAAGAATACATTTCAATTAGCCATGTTAGAGTGATCAAGCAATTCCCACCTTGCTTCGAGTTTTTTGCTTTCCTCAGAATAGTAACCGTGTCATTGTTAATTCTATCTATCAACTGTATAAGAACTTTAGCACTGTGAAGACTTGGTTTCTTTATTGAGGTCCGGAAGATCAAGAAGGAGGTTTTTGATCTCTTCCATATCAGCCTTGACGGCTGCAGTGACTTCTTCCAAAAGTTGTGTGAGGTTCTGTTCATCAGCAGGATCAAGAATTCCCATTTCGAAAGTATAGTTTCCCAAAAAGAACAAGCATGCTTGCTTTTTCATCATTGAACAGTTCCCTGAATCACAATAATGGGCGTCGAGATCATCTTGCATTTACTTACCTTCCCTAGTACGTCATTAGATTGTTGGGATCTTGATTGAAAAAGAATGACAATTTTCTTCAAATTCACAGCATGCTCGAGAATGTACCGTGCAAACTCAATTTCATTAGACCCATTGGAGAGCTCAATAGTTACCTCCACAAGATGATAAATGAAAGCAAAGTTTTGCAATTTCCAGTATCCCATATCAAACCCAGATGACTGGAAAGGGAAGAAGGAAACAAATTAAAATCAAATGAAATTTACCAAATCGTGTTAAAAAAATAAAATAAAATAAAATATATTTGAATATGAGAAAAGACAACTACTTGAAGAAATTACACCAGGAAATATAAATGAAAGAGGATGGTTAAAAGGCTACACAAAATCTCACTTACCATGCAAGGCTGCCCTCTGGGTGGTTTAGATTTTATATTCAAGGTATTCAAATTAGGCATTCCTTTAAGAAGACAGGCCACTGCTGGAACTAGGGCATCATTCAAGCTCCTCAAATGCATACTGAAATGAAAAATATCTAACGATGCTGACATGGAACCTTCCTTGTGCAGAGCCTGCAATTTTTCACCAAAAAATCTTGAGTAGAAAAAGGACAAGAAACCAACCCTCAGAAAGAAAAAAGTAATAGTGTTTTATTAAATGCAATATATTTTCGAAAACTAGATTAATAATCATTTTTTGGTCAACAGTTTGAATTCTCATGTTACTCGTTTTACTTCATTTTTCCAGTTTTATTACGTTGATTTATAATTAAATTACAAAATTATCAACAAAGGACTCAGTTTCAAAGTGATAACCAAATAAATGGCATTCAAGAAAAATTGAAGATTAGTGTGAACATTATATAAGTAATATGCCATCAATTAGTGTCACCAATATCAGGTAATACCATCAACATTATACAAAACTCTCAAGTCACAATATATAGAAGCTGTAATATCCTTTTAAAAGATTCAAATTGTAAAATAAGTTGTTTTTTTACAAAGAGGAATGAGTATTGTGATTTTACCTTAATGGTCTTCTCGTTTAGAATAAGAACTTTAGCCTTGCACAAACTGCTAAGAACTGCATGTAAATTGTCGAAGTCATTTACTTCAGGCTCCAGAAAAATCTGAGCTTTTTCTAAACTCATTAACTTCCCGAGGTTTTGGCCATTCAACAGTTTCCCTTCCCATTTCAACTTTCTAAGATTTGGCGCAAAAATATTTAATGAGCGGCTGTCAGGACAAGCATCAAATTCCCAATCTAACTCTATTTCTTCAAGTTTCTCACCAGAGATGCTAAGATGGAGGAGTTTAATACCACAAACTGAAACAAACACAAATGATTCCAAAGACAAGCTTTCAATGGTGATACGTTCTATCCCTATAACGCGAAAAAGTTGTATTTCCTTAAGGCATTTGCAGGTACATGAGATCCATTTAAAGAAACTCTCATCTACTATATTAACACAACTCAACCTCAAGGAAAGGAGATTGCATGAAAAAGATAAGGAGGGTGTTTGAAGAATCACCCCGGAACAGCAAACTGATAGAGACTTCAAGGATTGAGAAAGAAAAACGCAAGAAGGCAACGCTAACATGGTGGTATGGAGTGCTAAGAAATAAAGGTTAAGCACTTCAACATTACACCTTACTGCATTATGAATCCACGTGATTATCCGAAAATGCTCATCAGAAAGCTTACTTACACTTTTGTTTTTAAAGAAATTCCAGAAAACGGAAAAACGCTGCAACTTATTATCACCACGATGAAACAAGTACCGATCCCAAGAACTCATCAACTCTACTAGCTTCTGGTTGGTTCTTGCCTGACTCGCATCAAAATTCACTGATGGCGCTGATATATAAAATCTTCTGCATCTTTTGGACACAGTACCCACTCGAGTGAGGTCTTTGAATGTGAGGAAGGAAAGAATAAGATGAGCAACTTCATCTGGAAGATTACTGAATCTGTCTGTTATACCCTCACTAAGAGCTCCTTCAGCTTGAAAACTTCTAGTTGACCGTAGCTTCTTCTGTAACATCATACTCTATTTATTTTTTATATTGGATTGTTGGAAGCGGAGGTGGAGCTACAAGGAATATCGTTCTCCTGCAATGTTAAAAGAACATAACTGAACCTCACCGTATTTATACTACTCTAAGCACACACAAAAAAATAAAGTAAAAAATTAAGAATTATTTCAAATTCATAATCTATCCAATTGAACAGGAAATTTTGTTGAGCTTCCTCTAAGTGAAAAACCAAATAATTAAGAAGAATTTCAGTGCACTAAATTTTCAACTTACTGCATTTTCAAATTGTTGTGTTCATCTTTTTTATTAAAAAAAGTATATGCTACCTTATTCTAATAGTTTATTGTTATGATATTTCTAGCAACTTTCTGATAGCTTCTAACTATTTCTCTATATGATAATTCTAACACCTATTAGGTCCTGTGAAAAGTACTACCAAAAAAATTCAATGGTGTTCCCATGTTCAAGGTTTTATTAGAATATTATGAATTTGCTCCAAAACAAAAATGAAATTTTCAATCAGTGTTTTTGGTTTGATTACCCTTTATAGAGTATTCTGACAAAAAGCATTTCATTGGCTGGCCCTAGTGTTACTTGTATTATTAATAATACAAAGTAGGTATAAGGGCTGGTTCAATGACATAAGTAACACTGGAGCTGGTCCAGATGAGAGAGAGAGAGAGAGAGAGAGAGAGAGAGAGAGAGCAAACAAAAACAGTAACATCATGGCTACAACAGACATGATAGAAGGGAAACTCTCTCTCTCCCTTCCCTGTTCCAAAATCTCAATCTCTAATCTCTCTAATATTTATCTATTCCCAAGTCTCACTCTCCAATTTGGGAATCCATCTAATCTCCAAGCAAATAACAAAGGGTGTGATGAGATGTCACTTAGGTTTGTGAATGAGGTAACACTCTATTGAAATCTGTTACGCATCGGTGAAATTTTTCGCCAAAAGAACAACCCATCTTGAGTTATTGCCTCTTTTTTCCGTTTAGATCTTTGTTAATTATTTCTTCTAATATTATCCAATAAACCCATTATCAATCTTCAAGGAAATTTTCGTATGTAATAAACACATTTATTAAAATATCATCATAAATTTCAGATATCATAGCTCAAAAAACCCTAGTTAACAAAATCAAACCCAGATGATGCAGCTTTACAACAGCAATTGCAAATTTAAAAAAATCTTAAACTGATGCCAACCAACCACACAGAACAACACAAGCAAAAATGATACGGAAGAAGAAGAAGGAAGAGGAAATCATACCACAAAATTCAGGAAGCACTATTATGAAGCGAAAGCATATTTTATAAACAGAGGGTGGATGAGATGCGAATGAGAGGGCGAGGGCGAGGGCGAGGGCGAGGGCGGGCCTGCAGCAGAGCCTAGGAGGAAAGAGGGAAAATGATGAGAGGAAGTATACTGAGGGACTGAATGGTCAACCACTAAATGGCTCGTTAAACATGTGATCATTTCAACCGTTAGATCTCTTGAATCGTCTCCGACCAAAAATAAAAAGTTAAGCAAAAAGGTCAGTTTCGGTCCTGTAGTTTGCTATTTTTTCAACTTTCTCAATTTAAATTTTAAATACACATAATAAATTCTGTCAAATTTCTTCTAGTTCCATCTAAAGTTTCATCCAAGATATTCTACATGTCAGGAACACATGTTTACTCCGTTGTAAAATTGGATGAAACTTTGGACGTGTCTTTGAATTGCGAAGATATCAAACTATAGGGTTCAAATTACTAGAAATGAAGCTAGAGACATAAGTGGAAAATCTGATGAAGGGCAAGGAGATAGTTCCCTAGCATCCAGAAGCTTGACAACATGGGATTACAAGCAAGCTATAGGGTTCATTTGTTGGCATAGTGACAACAAGGGAGATAGTTCTTAGATGCTAGGGAACAAGCCCCCATCAATCATTGCTGGAATTAAGCAAGCTACATTGACTTTGAAATGATGAAAGTAAGCGAAACACCAAACAATTTGAGTGGGATTTGATACGATTTTAGACATAAATTATGCATAGAAGCTTGAAGTTTGTAAGCACGTTTGAGAAGAACATCTCCATTCTAGAATTTGTATCTTTTAGATAAATTTGTGTCATTAGGTTTGTTTTGTTTTTGTTTTTTTTTTTTTTATAATCATAAACATTCTTGAATTATTCAAAACTATCTGGTTGCGTCTTTTATTTTCCATTTTTTATATCATTCGTGATCCTCAAGGTCAGTCTGCATGCTCTCAAGTAATCCCATGAAAACTATCTGGTTGCGTCTTTTATTTTCCATTTTTTATATCATTCGTGATCCTCAAGGTCAGTCTGCATGCTCTCAAGTAATCCCATGTTGTCAAAAACTGTCCAAAATTCTGTTGAATTTATGACATGACACTCATGTGGGCCTCACATCTCCAATGATATGACATCATGTGAATTAAATAAATATATATTTAAAAATAAAAAACACTTTAAAAAAAATTAAACATCAAAACCAAGAAAAAATCACCACCTCCTCCATCGAATGCCAATCCTCCACCCTCATCGTTCCTCATCCCCTTTCCTCTCCCGCAAGCTCTCCCATCCCCAAAGCCACTATGATAGATCCAAGTAATTCTGGGAAACAACAGTTCCTCCTTCTTGTCCTAATTATTCTACTGTCATAAAACCACTGACCAGAAATGGAAGCAACTACAAATGCAATAGCCAATCACAAGAGAATGAGGTGATAGTAGTTGTGGAAGATCATTTGCAATATTTTATAAATATTCTATGGAGCCCACATGATGTGGTCTATGCGGTAAATAAATTATTTAATTAGTTTAATAAATATTATTTTGAATAATCATATTGATCAAATTAAGAAAAGTAATTTTCTATTTTATTACCATGATGGGTGGTAATTAATTAGCACTACACTAGGCAATTAATTAGTCATCTCTCTACCTATAATAGTGCACATATCCATCTATTGTGTATAATTTTTGACTGACAACACATATTAGGGTTTCTAACATGCAAAAAAGTTAGAGAGAGAAACCTATTTCCTCTACACTGACGGCTCACCTATGGATCCTCAAGACAAAAATGTTCATTTATTTGAAGGCTAATTATCAAGGTATGTATGTATATGTTAATTGAATTTCTGCTTGATGCTATTGTGAAAATTATGAACTTCAAAATCTTAGATAATTTATTGAGTCATATGGTTATACCTAATATTAAGTTTACATAGCAGCTACAGTTCAAGGTCACTGTGGACTCAATTTGGCCTTAATTAGAGATAGATGTCCTTTTTCTAGCTTTGAAATAATTAGCTAAATCAATGTATTTTCATTTAGTATTGGGTTAATATATTTTCTTGTTATAGATTGATGAATGGTTTTCTTTTTCTAAAAGGCTAAATTATAGCAATGGCCCCTATGCTAAGACCAAACTTTACTTTTCGTCCCTCATATTGCTAAATTATGTCTCCACTTTCAGAAATTGTCTTTTCTTTCATCTTAGCCAACTTTTCCTTGAAAAATGATAACATGGCATGGACAAGTCCTACTTGGCATAGGCAAAAATGTGTTCTCACACAAATTTTTTTTAAAATAAATCTCATCTCTCTCTCTCTCTCTCTCTCTCTCGACCTCCATCCCGATTTCTTCTTCCTTCCCCCCCCTCCCACGGGGGCAATTCTCACCCAGATTTTCTCTCCCACTCGATAACCCACATCAGAGCCCACCAATTTCTCCTTTAGATGTGGAATCTTGGCTCCAAGTCTCTCTCCCCCACACCCATCTATTTGATGAGATAACACACATCAGACCCAAATCCTCCAACAAAACCAAACAACAAAGGAAAGAAAAGAAATAAAAAAAACAAGCCTCAGTGGATGAATTTCTTTTTTCCTTCTCTTTCCTCACTACTACAAGAAATGAAATAGACGACGGTAATCCACCGTCGTTGAGATGCTTTGAAAACCGTCGTTAAATTGACCGCCATCTTTTGGAGTATCAAACTACGACGGCTTTTCCCCGTCGTTGTTTAGCTGTAAAGACGGACGGGCTTTTTGTAAACCCCACGTGGTTTGGGGGAGAAAACGAGGCACTTTTTTT